CTGTTTTTATGAGTAATTAAAATAAGAAGAAAAAAAAATTATGTGTATAAATTTAAAAATATGATTAAGCGCGCCTCTGGCCGTTTCCGCCGTAATTTATATCAAGGCGACCGATTAGTCTCTCTTTCGTTTGTGTTTCTGTCGCCGTTTTGCCATAAGAAGCGGTCTATTTTTTCATGACTCCCAGGCTGGCGCATCATATTTCCGATAACAATTTTTTTTCATGCGAATTATGAGAAAAAAACCAGAAATAAAAATAAAAATAAAAAATCTTATACATGATTTGCCATGATTTTTTTCTTTCTTCTCTTGCTCTAAATTAAATACGATACGATATCGTGATTGTAGTCGCTTTCGTCGCCGCCGTTGTCGTCATAATTCGTTGTCATCGCAAAAGAAAAAAAAATCAACAGTGACGATGAGTATGGATTTCGAATGAACTCGACGATAGGTTTCATAGTTTGCTGATAATGCAAACACACACATGCACCTAATGAACTTGAAAAGAAAAAACACGCACCAACACATATCGTTGGACGCGATTCGTCACGCGCACCACTTTCAAATCACAGAATCAAAAGTGTCGTTTATTTTCATTTGCTGGGCATTACGTTGTTCTTCTCGTCTGTCTCTCTCTCTATCTCTCTCTATCTCTCTCAATCTCTCTCTTTCTCTCTCGCTCGCTCGCTATTTTTGTTGCTTAGTTGGTTAAAATTTGTTTTGCTTTGTAGCTTGACATTTGATACACAAAAACCGTATTACCATGTTTTTAAAAAGGTTGTCGCTATTGTAGACTAAAACTGAATGCTATTGATACGTGTTTCCCACCTTGCGTGAGCACTTCATCTTCTTTGCTCTTATTTTGTCCCATTTTTGTTGTTGTTCTTTTTCTTGCTTTGCACACACGACACGCAGAATTTTGAACAAACAACGATGAGACACCCGAACAAAGAAAAAAAAATTAAGTGTACACAACAACAACATATCAACCCAACTAGAATCACTATCAAAAGCAATATTCGATAATGTATCGCTACTTTTATCAGCATTTGATATAATCCAAGGCGTACACGTACTCAATTCGATCTCCTTCTTCTTCTTCTTTTCTAGTCAGCGAATATAAAAACCTAAAGTCAATTTTTGTGCGTGTGTTAATCTCTCTTTTTCTCTTTGTTACTCGCACACATCGTCGCATGGATCTCCATTGAATTTTGTGTGTGAAAATCCAAAATCCAATCGCAACAAATTTCACTCAATCTTTTCGACGCGTATAATAAGATTTGTCAAACATTCTTTGGCGTGTTCAAATTTCTCTCAAAATTCTCATCAAATGGTGTGCTTTAAACCCACAAATTATTCCCATGGTGCGGCTGTTGACACTATAATTCCCTATATTTCGAATTGGCGCGCTGTGTAGTTCCGATTTGAAATGTTAAATTACATTGATGTTCCCTTTGAAATTGGGGGCGCTCGTGTCGCCTCAAATGACTTTGACGTTCAACAGCCGCCACACGATTATTCCATTCGAACAATGTTGGATAGTGTGAATGGTGCGCTTTTTTTTTTCCATACGGAATGAGCTGTCAAAAATCCGAAGAGACGAAGAAAGAAAGCAGAAAAAAAGCTACATAAATCGAATTAAATTTTCAAATAATAAATGTGGATAGAATCATTTTCAACGGAATCATGTGAACACTGAATGTGTGTTGTTTGCCGGGTGATTCAGCGTATACCCAATTCCCGGAAAAATCTGAGCGTGCTACAATAGTAGCAGCGACAAAGACAGCGACAGCAACAGCAGCAGCGTATTACACACTGTAGTGGTGGCGCCAGTGCTCATTTTCATTCAATCGTTTGAGTTCATCGTACATTTTTCATACGATTGTAAAATGCCCTAATTTCCATTTATTCGCCGTAAATTTTCACCATTTCTGACTCATGCTCTCTCTCTCTCTCTCTCTCTCTCTCTCTCTCTCTCTCTCT